AACAAATCTTTTGACGTAAAGATAGGATTATTTAATGATTTCGAACCAGATACTGTATTGCTTAATAAATAAAAACATTTTATTTATCTATTTCTTGACATATCAGCTACACTTACTATTATTTTTAAAAACCGTATTGAAACCTGTGAGGCATGAAAACTGAGATTTGTCATCACGAAACCAAAAACGTGAATTTTTTTATCTAAGGCTTAAAATTAGTCAAACTATGAGGAGGAAATAGCAGTCTGAAACCAAACAGCTGTTTCATTTTAACATGTTAGTACTAAAAATCAAACATTATTGAAGTGGTTTAATTCTCAAGTCAAAATACTCACGTGAGCTCGCTAATACAATATTTCAAACCGCGACTCTAATAAATTCAGTCACGTTTTTTCTTATCAAACAACTGTGACTCTGAAATACATGCTAACTTTCAGAAATTGTACAGTGTAAAATGCTTTTAATAAAAACACTTAGATGAGATTTTCAGAACAAAACTGAAGAGAAAATCTTATCTAATTTTGAAACTAGTCATGTCTATGTACTAACATCTTCAGTGCTTGAACTAGCTCAATAAGACTTCAAAGCTTGTTTGTTTACAGTGTTCGATCAACGATCAATGTTTGTTCAAATTCTCATAAAAGTCTATTTTTTAATTAACTAAGATACCTCTAGAGATTATTTTCATGAAAAAAAGAAACTTTATAAAATAGATGGAACGTGGCTAGTAGTGGAATTCAAGACCTACTTGGGACTCATTGGATGTATGCATCGCCAACCCAGTGTTGATGTTTACACTGGGACTTCAACCCAGTATCTTTCGCTTCAAACCCCAACACGTTATTCACTGAGTTACGAAATCCAGATAACCGCTCACTTGGGCAACGAGTATGTTATTTACATCGTTATTAGAATGAATTTGAATTATCCCATCGTTGAAACTGTTGCCAACCAAGATTGATCAAATTCAGTAAACATTATCACCAACGGCATAGGTCAAACCCATTCTGATAATAATGTAAAAATGAAATTATTTAAAAGACGACTTAAAACCAAGGACCACTCGACAACTGCTTCAGTCAAGTTCCTGACTCAACAGACGTACGAAACGATGGTCAGATAACGGATTAAAAACATGACCTACATAATATCACGTAACCTATCAGTCGATGCACAGTGTACAATATAGCCAATGAATTACCATATCACTTCTTACTGGTCTATTAATGAAAATAAATTTCAAGTTATATAAATCCATTCGTAAAATAACACCTTAACCTTGGTAAACAAGAAAATGTTTAAATAACCGGTAGATAAATGTACTTCATTTATGAACATATAGCTGGATAAATTATATATATATAAGGTTTCTGGTAGGTTGGTATTGATGTAACAGTCTCAACATAGTACATCAACATAAATAAAAGCACAATCTTCTAGAATATAAACTAACTTAGATGTTTATAATCACTATAATGTGAAAGGATACTCAGGATATCAATGAATACAAGTTGATTTTTTATATAAAAATACTATGGCTTATCTTGCAGCTTATCAAAATACTGTTCCTGGTATGACTACTTGCTACAATTATGGAAAAAATGTTACTTGTCACTTCTTACAATGGAACAAGACTGATATGACTGGATGTAAGCAGTAAAGATAAGACTATATTCATGCACTTTATTTATGCACTAACCACTGATTTACAACAGATCAAATTCTAAAAATTTATATAACCATTCTTTATCTATTTCAACTTTATCACCTGGATACTACGACTATCCTCTATATCATTCATGATAATAACTTGAAACTATACTTAATGAATAACCACCACTATCATTATTCAATAAACCTTTATGCTACAAAGAGAGAAATTATACCTCACAACTCATAACTGTTGGGACAATTATAAATCTTGACATTTTCAGATTTCTAGAGAATTCTTGTATCTAGTGTTTTATTTAGATAAATGATAATGGATAGACAGCATTGGAAAATAATGGAAAAATATATTTCTTATACTATTAAATGTAGCACAGTTCTTACTAATCATAAAATCTGAATAACAAAAATGACATGATTATAAGTATATTAAATATACTACACATTTTCCATTGATGAATACTATGAATGTAACAGCTGAAAAGAATACTCTGACAGTAATTCCACCATGATTTATACAAAGTAACTTATCGGCTATTAAATAATAACTTTACATGAACAGCTAGAAACAAATTATAGTTTACTATGAGAAAGCAAAGATTTTACCAGTTTTCTAAATCTATCATATTAGATAAGTACCAATTCATATGTGACTCGGTTTAATTCTACCTATTTACGACTATCATTAAAATGTTTAATTTAGTTAAAACAATCAAGCAAAAGTCTGTTTATTATGCTCAATTATCAATTTTATCAAAAATTATCAAAATATATAATCTTGTCTAGTATGCTGCAATTATGTAGTAATGAATTATGTAACCAAACTTATATCCAGACGAAAAGAGAAAAATTCCACCCTACACGTAAAATCCTTTTTTTTCTTACAAATAACTAACTCTAGATATTTCGTAGATATGCATAAAGGTTTAAAGTAAACTAGCTACTTAAAAAAGAAAAGTAGCAAGTAAAACCATAAAAGTTATTTGACTAGGAAGGAAGAAACTAGAAAAAAACCCATTAGAAAATAAAGTATAAAATATGCGACAGTTTTTGTCTATTCCATTATGTGTGTGTATCCGTTGTAAAGCATAAATCATAGTTTAAGAAAATATCTCTCCCAACCTATTCTAGTTCCTTTTTTTTGCTTTACTTGAGGATTATTAGCAATCAACATTAGACGATTGTCACCGCCCGTCTAATATTGGGCTGATGCTTAACTTATTAGTGGAATTAGTCAAATTATATTTTTTCTTTATTTTATTTTACAATATCTCAGTCTTTTAATATCTTTAGTAAAATGATATAAGTGCAGGAATATTTAACTGATACAGTTGGATTTTAGTTGCCCAGTTCAAAACGTAATCGTGCTGTTGGGACGTAACCGTTTTAGGGTGGATTTTAGTGTTTTGAAATTGCTTAACTAAAAGTATGTCATTTCAGCAGAGTAAATATACTAATGATAATTCATGTAAAATAAGTTATGTCCAATGATAATTCAACGTCACTTCAAGATACCCTATGAAAAGAATAACTTTCCTCTGGCATAATAAATCACATTCTAAAAAGCAATGTACAGGAAAAGTCTTAATGGATTACCAGGTCAGTTGATGAATATTTTTGCCAGGCACGTGGTACTAGTCGGTGTAAAATAAAATCACCCAACTTTATGCAGCTAATGTTAGGTCAAGATAGAGGAAAATGTGAAGTAACAGCTATTAGAACATAATATAACATTTTCATGATAATTTTGCTAGTTTCTAATTAAAATTGGTCCTAAAGTAATTGAAATCCCCAAGTCACAACATCTAAATCAATGAAAATGTAATGCTCAAAAGTGATTAACTTTAAAGTAAATTCTACAAAGTTTTAATCTGAAGTCATAATTTGTCAAGTAAACTGGGTCAAGACAGCACTTCACAGGTAAAATTTGATAAAACATCGACCGATACCCGGACTCGATTACACTTGAAAGAAAAGGACAAATTAATGTCAACCTAATCGCTTGAAAATATCATACTCTTCAAAAGACGCGGAAGACCTGCTTTCTCTGCTAAATCTTATCGTAAATGGTCATTTCAACAGAATCCTAAACAGGGATGGATCGATTAGCTTATCTTACGTGTTTTCCAGTTGCCCATCACTATATTTCAGATCGTAGTGAAAATTACCGCCGACTTCTATACAACATTCACAGTACCATATAATGCAAACTTTTAATTTTCCTAAAACCATATTTTCAGTAAATGATATTTTAAGAAAATGATACATAAATTTTCAATAAATGTTACATTTGTACATTTTGTCTCCCTGTCCTGAAGTCAGTTTCATAAAGTTGAATAATTTCAATTTATTGTTACTTGTAGTATAGAGATAAGTAATTTTCTAGACGCTATAACTTAAAATCAAGCGAAGAATCCGAAACTACTTAGGTTATCGACAAAACGACTGGTCAATACGGTCTCAAAATCATTACACTGGCCAATCAACATCAAAAACTCATAATCTAAACGTGATTAATAATTTGAATATGCTTTTTACTGTCTTTAAATTAGTTGATAAAAAACATACTTAGTTAAGAAGCTGATTTACAATTATTAGGATCTAGAAGGACTGTTGTTACGCATTAGTTATGGTATTGAAGCGAAATTTAAAATCATGCTAGCGAATTCATATAAGTACAATTCAAACGACCATCTCACTGCTTTACTGCCATATCTGCACGATTTGATTATTACGACATAAATTATTTTAAATAGACTTCAAAAAACAAATTGATGGAAGTCATGGAATTTGAAATGGGAATACCATTTAGGTATATTAGGCCACTTATGATGACATTATGATAAATTCATTGGCCAGTTCAACAAATAAACCGTGTTCCTACTACGATTTTCCTAGATAAATGCATTAACTTTAAATAGTACAGGAAGATGACAGGTTCTAGAGATCAACAGTCAAATCACTGATGAACACCATTTGTTGTAAGCACTCAACTGAATTATAATCGTGAACAACATGATTTCTTTAATAAAATTCCGCCTATAGCTCTTCTCGAGTTACTGCCGGTCCCAAGCCCGGGTAAAGGAGGAGGGTTGGGTAAGGGGTCGGCAAGTCCATCCCGTGGAAAAGAAACCTTGCAAAGAAAAGACGCCAACCACAATGAAATAAACAAATATCTAGTATGAACCTATAGTACAGAAAAGGAAAAAACATGTCATCGAAGTTTACTGAAGCTTTTATTTCTTTTGATTGCTTTTCCTTAATTCAATAATAACCATAAGTCGATAAACGATAATTGATTATTTAAAAGGAAAAAGGGTTAATAAACTTACTGGCTTTGCATGGGTCAAGCCAATTGCTTTCTGGATATAATATGGCCAAATCTTTCTCTGGCTCAAATTTCAGTGACTTTGGTATAAAATAGTTTATTTTTTCATGTAACCTTTCAACGAATAATGTGTTCTTTGATATGTTATGATCTTTAAAAATCTTTTTGTGCGTCCATTTTGAATTTGTTTGAGTTACATTAGAAAATCTACTATTATGATTATTATTAGTAGTATTAATATTCATTTTGTGCTTTTTGACTTTGTAATTATGTGGTATCTGAAAATTTGAACCATTATATGATTGAAATTGATTCTTGATTAATTGACTCCCTGAAACAGATGGACCAGGATGAATGAAATATACTTTCGGTATATTTATTATTGTTTCTTCAGTTACATGTGGATTCAGCCAAACCAACTGTATGTTTACAATTAAATGTACAAATGCATTTATTAAGATAAAGAAATGATCAACAGGAAAATTCATTTGAATAGTAGTGTATTCAATATATTTGTGTGTGCGTGAGATATAAATTCCGGTACAAATTGGCTAAAAAAATCTTGATTGCAAACTGAGCATAAACTCAGTCATCAGTACCCTCTCATTCTAAATAGTTTGTTTTTAAATAGTTGATTTCTAATCTATTTACTTGTGGATACACTGACTTATCTTTATAATTATTACTGATACACCTGAAGGATATATGGAGTCATCGAACAATTTACTTGGATGCATCAACTATTAGAAAGCAGAAATTTCAGTACATATAAAATAGCTTGCTTTAGGATCATTTTCGGACTTCATAATTGTCGATGAATAAGCGCATATTGATTAACTGATATGTGTTGTAATCTTGATTTCAATCAATTCAAAACTGTACAGAAACAATTTTGAGATTAGATGAGATAATGCTGTTAGAGTTACGTAGGTTATTATCGTCAGAAGGTCATAATTTATAGCATTGACCAATAGAGTTACTATCTCGACCCTATCACATATACATATATAGTGGAGCTTAGACACACTGACTACACACATATATACGTATGTTACAGGCTTACAAGTCAGTCTCCCAATCAATCGTAAATTTTTAATAGTTTGCATTATTTGATTGTGTATACACGTACATGTATACACCAGTAGTAGTGTATGGCAAATTTTTTATTTCACTCAACACACCCATGAAACATGTGTGTACAAAGACAGCTGACGCATATCAATGGATATTATATTATAGGCCTTAACATTCGCTAACAATTCATTGAGTCCTTAAGAATAGAAATGTTCATGTATTGGTACAGTACAACATCTCAAAGATCGGTACAAACGAAAACTTAACTAAAAAGAAAATGCTTGAACATATTGTTTTATGTTGTCTTCATTTTTCTCGCAACCATGTATATCAGATTATTGGTTTTTATATTCATGAGATAAAACAAGTGTTATCGACATTATGAAATGAGTCACATATGGTCTAATGTTATATAATACTTAACTTCATTGTAGTGTTTTATCCTAAGATTTCAAGTTATAGAAGTTGAGGTGATCGATTCCTGTCTATGGAATCAGTTTCAACTTGAAATGCTAATATTCAGAGAACCATTGAATATCAGGGTAAATTGTTTCGTTCTACTACTCAAGTTCTTTAAATCGAACAACAAAGATTTGTCATTCAATCGAGTCTCAGGATTTCAAATTTCTGGGAAAAGCACGATACCGTTCAATAATTGTGAAGTGACCAGTGTATTGTTTGTCTAGTCCTTTTAGTGCTGATCGAACTTTATTCATTAAGCTGCAATATGACCATCAGTCTAAGTGACTTGACATTTCATGAGCTATGTTGAGATATCAAGTGATTGGTGCTGCGAAACAGAATAAAACAGCATAGAATCATTCAGAGAGCTCAAGTTCCCTCAAGATTACAGATACAGCTTACTGACGAGTGTCGGATAGCTGGAAATATAGGATGAGGGTGCGCAATCGACTACCGTTAACCGTCTAACAACTAATATTCTTGAACAGATTACTTTTTGATGGAGAATTTCCATTTGTGTTTACAAGTTTGAATGTACACAAATCGATCAACATATAGTTCACATTTTAATCGTTTAAAAATCCCCGTCATATTAAAAGACTAGTATTTGAACGCAGAATATTCTCTTCGATAAATTCTCTTCAGGTTCTACAATTATATATCCAAATTAATGATCCGAAAAATGGCCAAGTTAAGGGCAAAGTACATCGTTTAAAGCATGTGAATTTAGGATTGTGATAAACAAGATACAATAGAATTGTTAATGTTGATATGACCCATACAGAATGTTAACTTGAATGTGCGTATATGTTAAGTGAAATTTTAAGATCCATGATCAGAGTAAATATGGGTCAAATAGGGTGACCTAATTTGATTATGGCCTTTCTCAGTCAATTGTATTGTTTCTGTTATCTGTATTCATAAATCTTTGCTTTATTATTATTATTATTATTATTATTATTATTATTATTATTCGTATTATTGGTTAAACATCATTAATCTCCCTATACATGATTCATTCACTTCGCATTCATTCCTCCGTATTACGTCTTATTTATTTGATCGAATTGTAATTGCACTATTATTTCTTTCTCACCCTATTTGACCCATATTTACTCTGATCATGGATCTTAAAATTTCACTTAACATATACGCAGATTCAAGTTAACATTTTATATGAGTCATATTAACATTAACAATTTTATTGTATTTTGCTTATCACAATCCTAAATTCACGTGCTCTAAACGATGTACTTTACCCTTAACTTGGCCATTTTTCGGATTAATAATTTGGGTATATAATTGTAGAACCTGAAGAGAATTTATCGAAAAGAATATTCTTCGTCCAAATATTAGTCTTTTAACAGTTCACATTGTTATGATTTAGGTCAATCAAAATCAATTATGAATATCACTTAACGAAAAGTACAAGCTCACACATTTGGTAATAAACATAATGATTGAACGTGTTAGTGTATATTGTGACTTCGTATATCAGTCTATAATATTCTTGAGTTTGAAGCGATGATGACTGATTTTGATTCCAGCTGAAACATGAACAACAGAATACAGTTACGTACAGCTTATAAGTCCTAAACAAATGAACTGTGAGTTCTAGATTTGACTACCAACTACCATCCAAAGCATAATCAAGCCGCTATGTTGTAAGACTGCTTAATATATAGACCACGTCCAGCTTGCTTCAAATGTCAAGAAAAAGTTCATTCTACGCAATACAATTGACTTTTAGGTGCTAAACGTGCATAAACTATGAAATGTATGTCTATGACATTTCTTTCAGATATTAAAAGATATGAGACTAAGCTATTATTATTATTATTATTATTATTATTATTATTATTATTATTGTTATCATTATTATTATTATTATGAGTTAGTTGACATTTAGCAAATCGATGATCAGAGATGAAATTTAAAAGTACAAAATCACTCATGATTATTTACTTCATTCAACTGTAACAATATCCAACAAACTAATACCATATATTTACTAATACGCAACATAAAACAATTATAAAAACACTATACTAACGATCTTTAATGAATCGAACAGGTTTGCTATAGTTACTTTAAGAATTTGTCGCGAAACTCAAAGAGCAGTGAAGGATTTCATGTATTGTATTTTAAAAATACTTAAAATTTGTCTATATCTAATCTTTAAAATACTTAAGATTGGTAGAAATATCTTTTCGTTAACCACATCAAGAATATGATGTGATAAGTTGACGAAGTTACAAGAAATACCAACACCTGATGCAGATTGTGTTAGGTCCTGAGAAACATAATGAATGGTAACTTTGGGATCCTTTTATGAACCAATACTAAACGTATATTTTTTATCGTATAATTGTTAAATAACTAAACTATTTATATTCATGTTCCTCTTATTATAAGCTTTATTTTTACCTCTGGACCATTATTATATGTTTTACCATTCTTGAATTATGCCCTGTCTATTAGTCACTGCCCTCTAATCGGCGGTCACAAGTTATAGCAGATTGTATCTTAGAGTACTTGATATGATTCAATAAGTAATCAAGGATGATTCTGTGAGTAAAAAAGTAATCCTATCTTTACACTTTCAACAATTACACACTTAACCTTCACACTTCTAACCCTGGTACTCCTAATCGTAATACCTAACCCTAATACAACTAACCCTCCAAAATCTAGCTACTAACATTAATATAACTATGGTTAAACTTTTAATGTCTAACCCCCACCTCGTTTCATTTACCATCATAAATAACTCAGCATGTTAGAGTTCATTATTATCTCAGAATTGTTTATCCTCTGCAATTTTTTTGTTTTATTTTTAAGTTTACATTAATATTTACTTGGTGAATATTTAAATATTTTTTCTGTATTTACAAATTTAGTATTACAAATGCTTTATGAGATGATTTATACTCATAATATTAATCACTAGTTTGATATTTTTATTAATATCAGAAGGGGTTTTGTGGAGATTTCTAGAAATTTCAATAGTTGAAATCATATGTAAATTGAAGCTAGACCATCATGGAAAACCTGGAAGCTCGAGATCTTGAGTTAGAATCTAGCGGGGTGGGGGATCGTGGATGCGCACTGCTGAGGAGTCCCATACTAGGACTAAACGGCCGTCCATTCAACATTATCTAGTAAGAGACTTGTTACATTTGTAAATATTCCATAGCCTTAAAACCAGCAAAATGAACATATAGTTTTCTAAAAACTGAAACTTGTATGCTAATTACTTGTTCTGTATTTTTTTGTTTTCTTTTTCTCGAAATTAAATGGGTAAGGTAACCTGTAGAAAAAATATTTTATAAACCGGAATTCAAATTTGATAATAAAACAAAAAAATATATTTAAATTAAATAAATAAGCAAAATAATATTTTTCGAAAGTAAGTAAAAGTTATGGTGTTTTGTGGGAAAATCTTTTTCTGTCTTTGATTTTTACCGAACAGAGAATCATTGGAATGAAAGAAAGATGTACATATTCATTATTTTTGTTTAATGCATAGAAATGACACTAGCTGGAGAACTGTTTATAGTTGAAAAAAAAGAACATTGGTAAGCTACCTTATCTGCTTTAGACTCACTAAAAAGGGGAACAGAGAACTCAAGTCAATGTTGATTCTCCCGGTCTCCCACATTATCTAGATATTCCATATACCTATATTAATTGTTGTTGTAGAGACATAGGTCTAATGACTTTCAAAGAAACTCGGATTTCACCATGAGGCTTCATAATTCTTTTGAATGAATATCCTTCAATTCAGAAGTCACAGTTTAAATTGTTTATTCTGGCTAGCGCTTTTTAAGCATGGTTGTTTTCTACGGGATGGAGTTGTTAACGTTATACCAAATCCTCTTTCTTTACCCAGGCTTAGGACATGCAGTAACCCCAGAAGAGCTACAGGCTGAATAAAGCCAATACATGATTGGAGTAAATATTTTTTGTAAGGTCAAAGTCTCATTGAAAGTTACTATTATTATTGCAAACAATTAATTTCACTGCATAGTGTTTATAAATAGATATCTATCAATGATCAAATAAGAGCCTATTTTAAGACAGAGTTTAATCATTTCCATATACATATGAGGCGAATTATTTCACCAAAAATCTTATTATACATGTCCTTATCCTTATTAACATTTCACTTTTGGTCATGTAATTTTATTGTCTTTCTAGGGAGAACTATCAATACAAAGTTATACAATCCTTTATTTATGGGTTATGTAATTATAAATTTCAAGCTTTTTTATATTTAATTATTTATCGCTAGCTGCTCTATACAACTATAAGAATGATAGGCGATTATAATGAATTCATTAAAGGAAAATAAACTTGATTATTATTACTTCGATTCATTTCATGCCAGATATCTCTAGATGTTATTCTACTAGCTTTTGGTTTAATAATGAATAGTACCTAGTTTTTGTATATAGC